CAATATGAGTAAAATAAGTAAGACGTATTTGCAGAATGAGAATATCTCTTGAGACACTGCGTGTTGGTATTACTTATATTATGATTTCATTGAAGCACTTTTCTTAAATTGTCGTAATCTGGGTCGTCAACACTATTGTGAAATGGCAACGTGTGATGGAGAGCAATGTAGTTTTAATGGTTTTTCTTCCGTTTTTGATGTTGTTGATGGTGGCCGGTGATGAGCTTCCTAGTGTCGTGTCGGAATTCTAGTGAGAAAATGTTGCAAAGATCTCTTTGAGAACAGAAGATGAAAAACGTTAGGTTTACCGTAGAAACGAAGATGAAAAGCAATGTGCGGCATACTATTCACCTGCGCTAGGTGGTAAGTACTTACGTACTTTCTTTGATCTCGTTCCAAGTGTGCTTGAACGCAAGTAGTCTTAATCTTGTGTCTAGTGGCAAAAAGCGCGACCAGTGTATAGTCGATGAGTACATGGTGAACATATAGGGTTGCCAGATATTTGTAAATTTTTGAAGAAAATGTTTATTTCTAAGTTTTACTAACAATAATTTTGGTTGTCTAGCTTTTAAAACTTTTCATTTTAGTTTAAAAGACATAAAAATGCCTATAATTAAACTTTAGCGCCATCTAGGTTTGAATTTTAGTACTATAATTATAATTAAGTCCCGATATTAACTTTAATATTGTATTTGACACCTTTATAGCACTATTTTTAAGATAAAAAGTTGCCTAAATGCTATTCCTTGGTCAATATTACTTCGATATCAAAATTTATCCAAATTAATTTAGTAGTTTTTGCGTGAATACGCCACAAACACACAAACTCTTATCCGCTTTTTTAATTAGAATTTTGTCAGTTATGCAATTTATGATATTTAATTTTATATTTTTAAATCTTTATTTTTTTACTTCTGGTAACCCTACATTTGCACACCTTAGCGTAGCGAGTGTTTCCATTTAAATTTGCGTGCGGGCAAAAAATGCGCGCATTGTATAACTGTTTACGTAATAACCTTAGTACCGCTGCGCGGAATATTTGAAATTGAAGTTTCAGCTAAGCCAACTTGACTTAACAAATACCTACATAAAGCATGTAGGTATCTACCTGCATAGCTAAATTAAACGCAAATAAAACTCATGTCTAGTCAATTTAAATTTGAATTTTTCATGATGGTTGAGTCTTGAAACAAACAATAAATTAATGATTATTATAAAACTGAAGGCATGCACACAATAAGTACAAAACAAAGCTTATACAGAGTGTTTTTATTATATTATATACACATACTATTAATTAGAAATTAATAATTTTCCGTTTTGCACACAACACTCGGTAGTTGAATGTGAAATAGTTGAAAATAGAAAAGTCTGGAACGAGACAGACCGCCCGTAAGTCTAAACATTGCTTCCACAAACATGTCGCGGTTTATGTGTCTGTATTTATATCTATGTACTATTATACAGACTTGTAGTTTTCTTATGTGTTATTTGCGTGCATGTGTGCATGCGTGTGTGTGTGTGTGAATGAGTTAGGAGTTAAATATGCGCGCCGATCGTAATTGAGAGCTGGCCGAACTAACGACCGACTGGATGCGAAAGACGCGCGACGCCGAAGAAGACAAACAAATATACGAGCATATTCGTTCGATCGTTAATTGGCGCAATAAATATCAAGCCGGCACTTATGCGGCTCCCAATGTTGTTTATGCACTCTATTGGCGTAGTCCACTATGGTCAAATGATGCAAATTGGACTTGTAAAAACGCTAAAATGAAAAAAAGAACTAAACTTTTTTTGTAATTAGAGTTTCCAATGATATCCACAAGTAGAAACGCAGTTATTTCTTATTTTTCTAATATTTTAGGAAATATTTTAATTTTAATCTCATTTTCGACACTTTTTTTCTATTTTTTGTAATTTTTAACGTGATTGAATTATTTTTTAGTTCAAACTTATGCCAACTACTGGCAGGACACTTTTTCCACTAAATTTTCACTTAATCACTTTAAATCCCCTTTAAATTTCCTTCTAAATGACATATTAATTTACTTTCTGCGATTTTAATTCCCTGAGTTATGATGCCGCAAAGCGCTGCCAACTTTTATCACACCATTCTAAACTTTCCTCTCATCGCCATCTGATACTTTAATATCATTTAAAGCCAATTTTTAAAATGTCACCAATTTTAACATCGTGCGCCATTTCCTCCGGCTTTCATCCAGCTGCGTTCCAAAGATCACATCTAGTAATAAACTAATCACTTTATTACTCAATTATAAGACAAGCACACCGATACTGTTTCAAGTCTGTTAACTACTGCTTTGGCACGAGTTTCACTCGTCGACGGATTTACCAAATATGACGGACAATAAACCTACCTCGCCGTCGAGATTATAATTACAATAATCATATAATATATTTATGTGTATGTGAGTACATACGCACTTCTCCACAGGCACAAGTTACACATTCGGCTCTGAACTGTTTTAAACGGTTAACTGCTGGGTGTTTTTAGTAACTTATGTCTGCTGTGAACGTGTGGATTTATCTCGGATGTCGATTTAACGCCGCGACAAGAGAAAGTTCATAAAACACGTCGTAAACATCCACACACAGCAACATCAACAACCCGCCGGGAGAGATGCTGTGTGTCGAAATTTAGAACATTTCGAAAAAATTTACATTTTTTTAAATGCAACGAAAGTGAAGAATAAATAATTTAATTATTTGTTATCGACGCGGGATAACTCGAAATAATCGATGGATAAATGTTGAAATCTTGATATCTGCTCGTAGAAAAGAGAGTGAAAGTTTTTTTTGTTTCGCATTTCTAACCGCACGAAGCGTATTCAATTAAAATTTTTCATTCGATTCATTCTTTTGGCCGAATCAAATCATGCGGCAAGAAAACCCAACACGACCATTTACGGAAAAGTGAAATTGTTTCTTTATTTATTTCCAGTTTTTTTCTACTGTCATTTATTCCTAGCTCACGATTATGATTAATGGTGCGTTAATGACTGACTGTTGGCTTTAATTGAAAGGTATAAAACAAAATAATCGCTTTCAATTTTTTGCATGATTTTGCGTGCGGATGCATCTCTTATGGTCAATTAATTAATCGCGGATTGTTTTAAGGCTGTAAGTTAGCGGAAATCGATGCGATCGTGAATGGGTCGTGGCGCGCGCGCGCGTTTCACCTTTCGATTAGCGGCGGCGATATACGAAGCGGAACAGCAATGCATAATGTTCGCACCTTTCCATTAATTAGCGTCCGAGCGCTCGAAACCGAGTTTATTGTTTTACGAAAGAGAACGCGCCAGCAGCAGTAAGAAGGGAATCGTTAAGCATGGTGGCACGTAATAAAACTTTTCTGCGATTAGTGCGAAGAGTGCATTAGGCATTAAGCACGAAGAATTTATACATTCGGCATTAGGCATTTGGGATTTAAGCGAAGCATTAAGGATTTTTCCGACTTTCTCGCGCTGCGCTCGCAGGAAACATGTCCGCGAGTCTCGTATCTAATTGAATCTTTTTCGCTGTGTTGTGTTGTGTGTGCATGTTTCAGCACAATTCGTGGCTGGGTCTTTTTAGTAAACGTGTGTGCTTAGTGGGTACTTAGTGCAGTATTGGCTGGCGCTGGTGGCTCAACGGATTGATGTGGCTGTGAAGTCCTATCGCTTCCGTTCGCAACTGTCTGCCCGCGGATGATTATGCGCAGATAGTGCGGACGATCGTTTGGATCGTTTCGAAATAGAAAGCCTAGAAATTTCTAGCTTTGCATTGTGTCGCGGTCGCTTGCGTCGAAGGGACAGGGACAGTTGAAACAACGCTGGGAAGTACAGCCGTACATGTTACATGTAACGAAAGTTGGCTGTTGCGTCTTTTTTATGCGATTATCCGATTATTCCGGCGTCTGTCAGACGGATTTTCAATTTTAAAAGACTTCCCTGTTGGTATTACCAACGGACAGAGTTATTATACATTCATTTTAGTTTTTAATTAATTACTCGTAAAGTACTTATGCTAGAGTAATGATTGTTTTAAAATTGGATTCAGGAATAAATTCGACGTCTAATTGTGAAAAGATTTTATTGATCTGATTTTTCAATAAAAAGTTATTAATATTTAAAGTAATAATTTGAAAAATGTTATAAAGCTGACTTTTATTTGGTTATAACTCATGATCAGAAGCTGTTATCAATAAAATCTTTTCATAAATAGATAAGGAATCTAATTCTGAATATATTTCAGAAAAATTATTAATATAACTAGATTAGTCACGTCGTTATTAATTAAAAACCATAAATAATGCCAACCAATATTTTATTTTGTGACATTTATGAAAATTGAAAGTGCGCGTTGTTTATTTCACTCACTTGACTCGACTACACGCATTTAAAACAATATAAAACTTATCAACACATGAATGGAACATTTAACAAACATTTGAAACTCTACGTTACGCTTTTAAGTTAACTGCCTTGCCGCTTACGAAAACGCCGAGTTCAAACAGTAGGACAAGTGCGATTGGTATGCAAATGTCGACAAGTCCGCATTGTGGCATTGTTTATGTTTTCTTAAATTTGTTGCATGTACTTAATTCTAGGCGTGCAATACGCGCGGCCGGCTATAAAGTAAGACACGCGTTCACTAAGTGGAAAGTTACTACTTTTTCGGTTAATTTTAATTCCACGCTTAATGCGAGTTCATTTCTATTAGTAAAATTGCAAATGAATGTCATTTGGGTTTTTTTCGAAAGGAAACTTCGCAGAAATAATTAGGCTCCTAGATCATAAATTATGTCGATTTAGATTTGTTTACTTTCTGATTACTTTACTAGAAAATCGAGTTTTTTGCGTTTTATTCACGCGAATGAAAACAAACATTCGTTTTAGAAAACGTTTATAATTTGCTAATTCACTTGTACGTTGTTTCGAAATTAAAGTTTTTATTATCTGTTCTTTTATTAACGTTTTTTCTTGTTGTTGTTGCAGGAAACATACAAGAGAACACAGGAAACGCAGAACGAGCAAAGATTTCCGGTAAGTGTACGACTAGCAATTCGTTGCTTCTTTTTTTGTTTAATTTTCATGTCCAATTACGTTTACATGGTATTGTGCAATAAACCAACACAGCACAAGCGACACATTAAAGATTCCACGCGGATCCCTGGCATCAAAACCGGATGAAATTAATTTTACATCGATATTAAATGTTTAACTAGACAACAAAATAGCTACATGACCTTGTGTCGAGCAATTAAACATGAAAAGATCAAAGAAATAAACAAAATTTTATTAATTGGTCGGCTGGAGAGCTTAGTTATAGTAGAGATTAAAAATTAAGTTATTAATTTTATTACTTTGTTAATGAAAATAAAATTAAAATAAGTGTACAATAAATAACACGCATGTTTAGAAAGAGGTTAAAAAATAATTTTCAAGGAAACATTTTTGTGTTGTTTATATAACGAGATATTTTTATTTTGACATATCTTTGAATGAAATCTTTGTAATTCGTCACAAAGATTACATTATGTCACTCTTTGTGTCGCTCCAGCATTTTGGGCGCACGATGATTGATTACTTTGTATTTTTTGACTTTTCTGTGCGCTATGAAATCATTGAAGTGACTTTTGTGAACTTTGAAATTGGCAATTTACGGTTAAGTGCGTAAATGTGCCGTTTTACACTTTTTGGTTGTGTAAATATAGGCAACCAAATGTACAAACAATTGTATTTTATAGAAATACACTATGCGAAGGCCAAAATAATCAAAACATTGCCACAACTTTTTTGACCTACCAAAGTTTAATATAATTATTATTTATTTTAAATAATTACATGTCATTAAATACACCAATTATACCAATATCAAGTTTATGTTGCTAACATCAGAATAATTTCAATGTAAAAGAAACCAATTCGAAAACATGTCAAACGTTAATAATTTTTTTTTATTTGCTGCTCACTTTTCTAGTGCGCTGCCGGAGTTGCAGTGGGTAATATAATAAATCTAGTAATTATGCAATAATTTCGCGGTTGTCTTACCGATTCGAACGCAGCCGCCTGCATGCGATCGGATCGTAAAACATATTTAATAACATTCATGATATTCCAATTGAAAAACACACTCGCGATCGCTGCGCGCAGTAAATAAATCTCGCCGGTAGCTCGTATTTCTCTCGCATGCAGCAAGCGCACACCGCGTTTGTTTGTCGTCCCGCGCGATGCGTTGCGAAATAAATCTCGGTGAGTTTTTCGCCTTCCTTGAGTTTTAGAATTATCTCTTCGGCGCACATGCATTTAATATCGTAGTATTTTATATCAGCTATCAGCTTGTCCGATGCCTGGACGCTTTGGTGCATTATGCACTGCGCGAGAGATTCGAGACGTCGCACCGCGAGTGATATATCGATTTACAATCGATGTAACCGATGCGGAGCGAAAATCTTTCATGACATGTAATAACAAACACACAGCGAAATGTTTTATCTTTCAGATATGAAATCATAAAATGTTTTATTTTACGTATATAAAAGGAATAAAATACTTATTGAGGGCAAAAAATTGTCTCACAGGTTTTTATTACATGTATACTACGCATTTAGATAAATAATAGTGGAGGAAATAAATATAATTGATTTGAAATATTAATTGGTGGCTCTGTGGGTACAATAATTTGAAAAAATAATGTTTCAAATCAAAAAAATCAATTTTTCATTGAAAATTTTATTAGAAAAATAAAATCATCAAACAAATCAAGTATGGATTGATATCTCGTGTAACTAATTAGGATTTTCTTATTTTTTGGGTGATTCAGTAATAAAATATTAAGATTTATTATTAAAATTTAATTATATCTTTATAAGTAATGAGATACGTTTTCATAAAATTAACATAAAAGCTTAAACGTTTAATTCTTGCGCCATGATGCCATAAATATAGATCATATTTAGCAGAGATAACATAATAACGCTGAAATACTTGTTAAGTTATGTCACGCCAGACAGCAATCGTTTCTAGCCGTTGCAGTTGTAATTCTGCGAGCGCACGATGCGTGCAACCGCCACAACAATGCCATTGTCGGTGCGGCGCAAGATCGCAACATCGAAATAAATCATGGGAATATTTAGAGCAGCGTGCTTTATGCGACATTGAATCTCGAATTATTCAGGTTGCGAGCGCCACTCGAGCACAAAATAACTAGCGCGATAAACGCGATAACTATAATCGCTTCGATCTTCTCACAAACAATTATTGTTTACGCCTAGCGGCGAGCGCAACACACGCAACACACAATTAACATTAACGCGGCTGTTAAATTTAGCAAAATGAAGCGAAAATGTGCACAAAACAAGATGGAAATCTATTTCGAGTCTGGCAAAGTCGCAGTACCTACGCGTTGCGCATTGATTTCGCCTGCATTCGTTCGACTTGTTGTTGCGCGCACAAAACGAATCCGGAATAATTGTAAATCCACCACAGCTCAACACGGAGATAAAAACAAAAGCGTAATTAAATTCGCATGCAAATAGTCGTAAATTGTAAACGCGCACACACACACACACACTGCGTGTAAACACACGGTGAGGAAGTGGCGAGTTCAATACCTTAAACGCGTGCAAATTTCGGTCGCAAAAAGTGTCCTCATTTTTTCGCGTTCACGCGCGCGCACGGCGATTCCGGTCGCCGCGTGCGCTAATGCGCTGAATTTAAACGCTCGCCCACGCGCACCACACATCATGAATGATTTATGCGTCGTTGTTCGTCTGTCTGTACTTGGTTTTGCTTGGACGCTCTTCCTCCTTTCGACATTTTTCTTTTCTTCGCGGCTGCATTGTATCGCAATACGCAAGCGACGCAATACAATCGCACGGTTTTGTCTTTTGGCTCTCGGCCGCGCTCTGCTTACCTAATACGCTGCGCACGCACGAAACTCCTTTTAACTTCAGTTGCTTACCGAAGAGACGCTGCAGACTGTATGGCGGCGTTATTATAATTTAAATTTGTGTTATGACATTTTAAGGTTGTCTGAAAGGAAGGCGGGCGTGCGTTTATTTATTGGAATGGCAATTTATTGATTTCGCCTCGATGCACATAAACTGCACTTTACATAAATTAAACACGTTTTTTTTCCATTTTGCTTTTATGTTGAGATTCGATCAAATCGTATGACATGAGATGTTAAGGGTAAACATTTGTGAAGGATATGTGTATAAAGTTTTTTTTTCTTATGCTGTATAAACATTAATTATGTTTTATAATTATTTCAGATTCGAGTGCCCGGTATAGTCGAAGTACCGGTGGGTAGTCGCGGTCCAAGGAGTTTGTACCTTCGACGAAATGGAGACACGTTCGGATTCACGCTGCGGCACTTTATCATCTATCCCCCGGAATCACTCGCAGTGAGTAAAAAACCATTTCTACACGCTCGAAATTAGAATATAGATGTACAAATGTAATGAGTCTTGGAATGTCTCTGTTAACGCATGTGGGTTTGTGTTTGGTATGAATATTGAGATGTTTTGTTTCGTCAGGAAACCGACGGTAGGCATGCGGCGGTGGGCGCTCTGCTCACTCCCATGGACACCATCTTCGTGAGGTACGTTGCGCAAGGTGGTCCCGCCGAGCAAGCAGGCCTACAGCGTGGCGATCGCATCCTGTACGTGAACGGCGAGTCGGTCAGCACGCTCACCTATTCGCAGGTTGTCCACAAGATACAGACAAGTCCACCATATCTGCATCTGCTTGTTGTCCCTAAAGAAGAAGACGTTCTTCAAAAGGTAACATGATAATAATCTAAAATAAAGTAAATATTTTATTTATAATTGTTTTGTTTTGTGTTTCAGTACTTTTCTGATACAGCGCACAACCCAGTAAGCAATCAATGTCAATCATTTGATGAAGCCGAGCATCGTCGAAAAGGTTTTCAAGTGGATTCGGTATCCTGGCGGTCGTTACAAGACTCCGGATCGAATTACGGGAAATTATCACAAAGTGCACGACGCTCGCAGATTGTGCAGCAGCAGAAAAGCGCTGATAATATTTATAGTTCTGTGAACGATTTTGCGCCGCCTTATCAACGCCCCGTGTATCAGAAGAGCGCTGATAATCTGTACAGTAGCCCAAGTGATAATTTGCGACGGGAGGTTTTGGTTGAAAGTAATTTAAATGATTTGCAACGCGCGCGCGCTCAACCGCAAGTGCCGCTCTATAGAAAGATGGGCCGCCGCTCCAGTGAGTGTGCCACCACCGAAAGCCTAAATTGCGACGAGCTTACACTTAAGGCCAACTACGGTATGGATGTGCAATTTGCAAACGCGCCTACACCGGCGAATTGTCGCATGGCGTTGGATGCGCATAGAAGGGAGTCTTCTTCGTCGCTGGGTTCTTCTGCTAATGATGGCAGTAAAGATAGTTTGCTTAGCTATGACTCGACGTCGACGTTAACTGGACACGATACGGACGATTCTGTCGCCATGGTGCGGCTGAAGAAGAGCCTGCAGAAGAAAGAGGAGTTTCTGCGACGGCCGAGTAATCCAGCGGTGGATATGCGCGTCCAGAAGGAGTTCTATTCGCGCCCGAAGAAGCTGGACAAACCGGTGTGGCCGCCGAATGACTCACCAACGCGGCTTGCGAAACCCACGCACCACATCTTTCAGCGGGTGAAGAACGACATCGAGAGCGAGCGTGAAAGTCTGCCTAATCAGGATGGCTCTACGACGACTACGAATGTCGGCAAGCCGACGAAGACGTCGAAGGACTGGCACTTTGGCCAGCTGGGGAAGATTCACGAGGCACCTACCCACGATGCACACGTCAATGGTAATTCATCGGACGGCGATGATCGGAGGTATGCAATGCGCTCGTGAACTTGAACTATTAACGCTGTGCGTGAATAAAATCGAAATAAATCTCGTTCATTTGCAGAAACTATCCGCCGCACAGTCTTCAGATTGTCTCAAAGCGAGCAAAGCAGTTTGAATCGGGGCATGTGACACCCGAGGATGATCCGCTCAGCAACGCCGATCGCACGTTGCTGTATCGCAGCGAGTTGGCCGGCATGGCGCAGAAACGCGTTGTGCCCAACGTGGCGGTCAGGACCAAAGAGTTTGAGACGCGGATTTACGAACCCCATCGTGATTTCAGCTCCAGCTCGATTGCGTCCTCCAACGCGCATCTGCGCAAGAGTTTTCGAGATAGTCGGTCCTTGGATAGCTCAGGTAATTATCATGTGAATGCTGTCTTTATCATACGGATCATTGAAATCGTCAGTACACTAAACACTAAATTGCATTTCACATTCCGACACGCAGGGAGCAACTGTAGCTTAGGTAGTAGCATCGCTGAAAACGTGAAGCAGCTTCCCGGGAATTTCAGTATTCCCATCGGAAGTAAGTTCATTCATTGTGTTCCACCCGCGGATGGTCAGGCGACGCAAGGTTAGCGCATCTCCCAATAAAATTCTTGCAGTGATTTGTTGGGTACTTCGTTGTGCAGCACGATTTTTCTCCTTTTCGTAATCATAACATTTCGTAACATATTTGTTGTTGAAGTTTTTGTAGATGTCGTTACTAATCTTATTTGATTGTTAAAACTATGTTTGGAGAGTTTATGGGTAGGAGTGTGTCTGATATTAGACAACTCAAGTTTTAAATCAGTTTTAATTATTGTATGAGTTTAAAAACTTGTGTTTAATGTTTTGTAGTAGTAAAACTTTACTTTAAACTCTTTTTAATACATTTTTATTTTTAATAGATATACCTAATGATGTACAGTTGGTCAAAACCCGAGCACGGTCCAATTCGGCTGGTTCCTGGGCGCAGGCAATGCAGGACAGCAAAACTGGTGAGTTTTATCGGCCATTGTATTTCCTAGTATTAAAGGCACCAGTGGTGTGGTGCTATTGATTTTGCAATTATTTATTATACTGACATTTGTGAAATTTCCCAAAAGATGAAAAAATGGACACGACCCCAATTAGCACGCGCGCACAAGTTGCACCGTCACCCCTCATACCGCAGCCGGTGGAGCGTTTCCGTGCGACACCTTGCGTGTCCGTCACACCCGCCTCACCTGTCCCCAATGGCGCTGTGGCCGAAACGGCACCACCCCATTCGGTCCTTCATCCCTCGCACAAACCGCATCCTGCACGCCCCACCGATCTCGATCTGGGCGCCCCGAAGCGCCCCATGCGACACTTGAGGCCGCCGCAAGCCGATGCACCACCTGTTCCAGCAGGTAGCTATTTGCTCGAAACAAGGCGTGCGACTAACCGATTTTGACTGTGTGGGGTTTCTAATAAATATATATCCTCTTGATGTAATCATACTTGCAAATGTTTGAATGTTGCAAATATTTTAATATGATTACATCAATTGGTAATATACAATTCTAAAATTCAGGGTGAAACATTCTCTTAATTTCCAAACTAATTCGACTTTGACTAATTCTGTTTTTGTTTCGTGTGTCTTCCGGTCTTTCCAATACCCAAAACCATATCCTTGATGTAATTGTGCACAAACTGCCAACTTTTAATCGTAATTCATATTAATCTGATTAATTAATTAACGTGTTATTCACTTGCAGCTGATAAACACTTGGTGGTGCGGCGGACTAAAAATACTAACTTAAGTAAGTATTACAAGTTTTAATTAAGGCCGCGCGCTGCGTCAATTAAAAACCGCGCACGCGAAAAACAAATCCGAGAATAAGAAAGAATAATAATGCGATGCAAAGTTACTTAATTAATTGTGTGCTGTTGCTTTGTTTGCGCAACGCAGCGGATGAGGAACGTGGTACAAGACGCGAATCGTACTTGAAGGCGACCGAAGGTGGAAGAATGCATTTCGAAAGCGCCGACCTGAGCGACGGCGACGTGTCCCCGCAACTGCTACGCAGGTAAGACCGATAATCCAATACCCAAAACCCAAAATAAAGAAGAAAAAGAAGTAAAAAAAAAGCTTAATTTCTTCATGATAATTGCTATACATGTACGACGTGTACTTTGTTATCTATTAGTGGCACCGTATTTTGTATATCGTCGAGCTTAGATAGTAGAATATTTTTTTTTATCTTGTTGGTCGGGGGATGGATCGTGGAGAAGGTGGCTTTGTTGGACGAAGTTGTTTCGTAATTGTACATCTATACGTTTGTTATTGTCTAGTGCCCATAGAAGGTGGCGTCCGCCTTTATTTCCTAGCGACATTCAGCAACTTCGCAAATTTTTCGAAGACACTGCTTCCTCTCTGGGGTGAGATGCCAATGATATTTAGCATTTAGCCGAATTACTAACTGTGCATCCGCTAACAAATGCATCTTATGTAATCATCATTCATATCATCATGTTATCGCCATGTTACTAATCTACTAAATGGCATCAATTATCGAATTGTCTCGATACTTGATATTATTAACTCATCAGACACGTCTGGCCACTTTTACGTACCCTGGTCAAACATCAAACAATGAGTCATTGCATATGAAATTTGAGCTACTGAATGTCCCTATTAATAAATTATAGTTTCAATTGCTTTGAAAGTTAGCCCTAACCTTAGTTTTATATATAAAAATGGCCGATATGATATTATGCAACCAATTTTAGTTAAAGTTTTATTGAAAGAAAAAAAAAAGTTGTTTTAAAACATTCTATGTAAGTTTTCTTGAAGATTGGAGTGCAATTTCATAAAAGTCGAGCCAAATAGGTACTAATACTACCCGTACCCGCTTATCTTCTGTAAATATTTGGGGTGGCGATTGCCGAACAGTTGACGAAGCGACCGAACGCACGTCCGCATGATGCTTCGCCAACTACACGCGTTTAGTTTGATCAGTTTACCATCCCGAAGTAGTTGCTTCAGTAACGTTTTTGTTTGGTGTGTAAAATGATACTCAACGTCGTCGTGCTGCATCACTACAGGTTCGCATTCTCCGTGTGCACCCATCAATTTCTAATCCGCGGTCCGGTCGATAATTGCAATGTGCAAAAATGAGTGCTAATTACCGGACCGCCTTAGTTTGCTTCTTGAAGCATCGCATTTGAGCATTTGAAGGTGAAATCGTATAAATCCATTTGGTTTATCGTCGTTCGTGCACACCGCGCACCGCAAGGGAAAGCGAGAACAATGCATAATGATCGCGCGTGCAATTACGCCTGCATGTCATTGTGTTTTAAATCAAAGCGCACACGAACGCTAAGCGGCGATTTTCCAATCTTTTTTTTTTCGAGGTTTTATCAAGCAAATCGAAGAAAAGCAAACATCTAACGTTTATTTTCATTCATTTTCATTCATCGTATCATTTATTAAAAATTGTAAACATATTTGTAATTATTGCGGATTGTTTGGTTGGTACAGAGGCAGCATCAGTGGGGGCAGTAGTAGCAGCACCTCACTGGAACGTGACAAACATAGTCCTCTGGTGGAGAAAGAAAAGCCACAGTTTGTGCGCGAACGACTACTGCATTTGAAAATCACCGAAATCGATGGCAAGGTATTTTATTGTTAATTATAGTTTTATTTGTGTTATTAACAAATATTGTCTTGCAGCGATATCCTGATCGGTCATGGAAACAAGTGTGGGCTGTGCTCAAAGGTCCCAAACTGTTTCTCTACAAAGATAGACATCACCAGGTAGGTCATTTAATAATTAATGTGATTTTTAAAGGTGTTTTGTTGAAATATTATAAACACCTGGTATAGTGCTATTTACGCGATGAAAACAAAAAAAAAACTGTCTTTCTCATCGCGTGCCTCGGTTCGATTACAAAACCTTTGACAAAATACGAGCGTAAACTAAAACGCGCCGCGCGAATTCCATTTTTGTCTCTGGCGAGTACAAAGTGCACACACGGGCTTGCGCACACCTTTGCGCCGGCCGAATAATAAAATAAACTTCAAAAAAGCGTCAAATCAGCGGCTTTCGGCCGGCGTTATCGACGCGCTGCGCCGACGGATTTGTTTAATAAACACATATAAGGAAAATTGGCATTGACCTTTTTGCGCGGTGCGGTGCGCCGCTTTGAGCCGAAAAAGTCGAAAATAAAATAAAAACGGCAAAAATTATTAAGTTTGGCGCGCGATTTTACGACGCGCGAACGCCAAAAACGTATTCAAACGAGCGCGCGTATGTTCGACATAGAAATTATGTCAACGCGCACCAGGCGCCAAGGATGTTTGTTTACTCGCAGTTTGAAAATGTTGCAAACGCGCAATTAGCACCGCGGTGCTGCTTAATTAATACTCGCAAGATATATCGCAACGCGCGAGAATAAGAACAAGAACGTCGTTTGCTTCACCATTTTACAATTGCATTAAGAATGGACATTCTTACGAGTAGTGTGCTTAACGTGTGCGCAATTATATCGGGCGGATTTCACTTTTGTTGTCTTTTCGGAATTGTGGTTACGTGAATCGGCGGTAAGGCGGTTGTCGACTCCCGGACCGAAAACCGAGCATGCGGTTATTGCTACATTGATGCGCTAGACTTGGCATGCACACGCACCGCGAGTGCAATCGTAGTATTTACTACTGAAATAATGTGTAGCATCAAGCATAAAGTAGTTAATCCATAAGCGAATTGTGTAACGCACCCCCCTCGAACACACGCGCGCTACCAGCGCGTACACTTTCTCGCGATGCGCTTCTTTTGCTTAGTGCGCCAGCGACTCTTCACTCAGTCACACTTGAAACTCAACTTACAAATCGATATCAAAATTTCAGTCGTGTTCATTCACATCTGCGTCTTGTAACAAAGTAGAGAGCCGTGAGCGAAGTGAAAATTTCAAGTGTGGGTGCAAATCCTAGACGCGAAAAATGCGGCGATTTGCATGCGCGAGATAGCGTCGAGCGTGGGCTATAGCCGCGGACTTGAAAATCTAGTTCGACCTGTTGCCTCCGATATAATTTCATTCATCGACGCGCGCCAAGAAAGGGCTCAGACTTTCTGCGCCCGCTGAAAGAGGCACGGCCCGCGTGGCGCGTGTGTGTCCGTTTATTAATAATTTAATTAACGTGTGTGATTATTGAATTCGCGTTTGTGCTGCAACATGTTTGAACCGTCCGGTTTGACGGTGCATCATCGCGTACGTTCGGGCACCATCTCGTGCATTCCGTCCTTTCAATTTCATCTGCATTTTCCCACGCAAGGATTGTTCCCCAGGAAGTTGCGACGATGGGGATCCACTGGTTCATGGGTATTCTTTTATTTTTTGTTTCTTTCCAATTTAATTAAAGAATTGAACAAAGTTCATAGGTGAAAGTAATAAATGTGCACATCAAGTTGAAATTGTGTTTTTTCGTGCGGTTTTTAATTGCGTTGCATTAATTATTTTTGCGTTATTGCGATCTTTATCCGTTTTCGATGTTTTAAGGTCGTTCTTACTACATGCGCGCATGCACATAGATTACAAAATCGGCGGTTGTACATGGCGCGTCGCTAGCAAAACGACGAAGGAGCAAGCAGACGCGTCGTACGCATGCACGCACTACTCCTGCCTCCTTTATTTATTTTTTTGTTGTCGTTTTATATATATAAAAAAAAGTTTTGCGATGCGTGCTCGCGATTCGAACCCAAGGCCGTCGGCTCGCGCTGCTCTTGTTTGCGCGTGTGCACGCCGACGATTTAAAGTCGTTTAATACTGAACAAAAGCCTAACGACGCGCCCCGGCTCGAAGATGCGCTATTACGCGTGCGCACACGATGTTTATCTTCACATTAATGCTATTTTTACTTGTTCGAAGGTGAATTACTAAAGTTTTATTTTCACTTGAACGCGCAATAAAACTCGATTGCTCTACTGGCGAGCAATTGACATGATTGAACAAGCAAACAATGCGCGAATTGATAAGTGATGAGCAATGTTATGCTTTAGATTATATAGTGATTAGGAGGAATTTTAAAGCACACAACTTGGAATTTGTAGTTCAATATTTATCTGTTTGATAATTCTACAGAGCCCGGTCGGAACATCGGAGGTAGCGGATCAGTCTCTGGCCAACGGCGTAGACATGCGCGGAAGTTGCGTGCAAGTTGCTGATGATTACACCAAGCGCAAGAATGTGTTGCGCATTTCTTCGGTGCTGCCCTGCCGCTCCGAACTCCTTCTGCAAGCAGAGAGTACCGAAGAGCTTGCTGAATGGGTGCAAGTCCTTCACGAACAAGTTGCTACTGATGTAGATGGAAAAGTAAGTTCTACGCAGATTCATATGACGTAGATAGAAGATTTGTTGACGTGTCTGTATTTGTTGGTAATTGTTTGTGTCTGATAAGGATGTGAACTCCGGAAAACAGCAGGCCGTCCCGCAGAGTGTACCGGCCGCCACGAGTATACAAGTGCAAGGTGGTAAGAGCAAACTGCCCACGTTGCGGAATCGCTCGCCGACTGGCCAGTCCCCGGTGTCGAAGACGCGCAAACCCTCGCAAGTCAACGATCCGTCGACGAGTCCCAAGTCAAAAACATGGCGCGGCCGCGTGGCAAAACAGTTCCGCCGAATCCAACATGGTGCCAGCTCTCCGAGTTCACCTACAGCCCCGGAGGGTTCGACATTCGGGAACAATCTGGAGCATTGTTTACCATCTGAAGAACATCCTTATGTGCCTAAACTAGTGGAAATTTGCACTGATTTCGTAGAGAATCGCGGACTGGAAGTGATCGGTATCTACAGAGTTCCTGGCAATAGCGCTGCCGTCACAGCTCTCACGGATGAAGTAAACAAGTCCTACGATGAAGTGTCACAGGTAGATCCACGCTGGAACGATGTCCACGTGGTGAGCAGTTTGCTCAAGTCCTTTTTCCGCCGGTTACCCGATTCACTCTTAACCACCGGCGCGTATCCGTACTTTATTCAAGCGGATAACATAGAAGTACCAGTCACGCGACTGGAAGAAATCCGCAAACTAGTTAAGAGCCTCCCGGTTTACAATTACCACACGTTGAGACATCTCATCTTGCATCTGCGTCGAGTTGCGGATAATTCTGAAGTGAACAAGATGGATACCAAGAACTTGGCGATCGTGTTTGGTCCAACGATTGTACGCACTGGTGAGGAAAATATGCAAAAGATGGTCAACGACATGACGCATCAGTGTAAGATTGTGGAGTCTTTGCTGAAATACGCCGACTGGTTCTTTTCGGATGACAGTGTTGAGTCGTTGAATTTACCGGCGGCTCCCATTGCACAAGGGGAAATATTTCCAACCGAAATGAAAACAAATACGGCGTTGTTAAAGGAAAACATTAGTAAAATGGAGGGCTTAACGCAGAGCAAGGACCAAAAGGATAAATTGTTTTTGTCGATTTTCACCGCTGCGCACAAACGTTATCGCAAGAAGCCGAAAGACAACGACGAGCCGCAGTCGCCTACAGGGACGGGCCAGTTTAACATCGTGCAGTTTGCGAACGCAACCAATGATCTCAAAGAAGTGAGTAATCTACCATTATTACCTCACCATTGTTAACTAAATGTTCACATATTTGTAGAGTACAACTGAAGTGAAGCCAAGCACAAACGAGCCAATCAAAGAAGAAAAGGTCGCCAAACCCAGGGACTCGAACGCCGTGTTTAACTACAACAAGGACACGGAAATGTTCCGACAACGTGTTGAAAACTTTATACAGGAAACCAACTCGGTCCTTTCGCGTCCCAGAAATAATAGTAATAATAGTTTAGGTAAGTTTATCCGTGTCCCTAAGTGTTGATTGGTGTTACGAATTTATATTGTTGGTATTTTTAGATATGCCAAATCATCAAATGAGTTCCTCATCGAGCAGCAATGTCCGCCATTCGCTGACCGTAAACAATACGTGTGACCAGCGCGTGATCACGAAAACCAATAGCGCGTCTAACGTGTTCGGTCGAAGTGCGCCTAGTGCGGAAAAGTGCGCGCCGGCCAAGCCGCAATTCTTATCGTTCGGTGCTAAACCTGACAGCCTTAATAACAGCGTGAATAAACTGAAGGACAGCAGCAGTGATATCAGCTCGAATGCTAGCGACTATAAAGGATTAACGATGCGACGTGGCAGTTCAGTGGAGAACATTGGCAATCAAGACTTTGTCAATGCCAATGGCAAAAAAGTAAAATATGAAAATGAGGTATTCATGCAACCATCTATTGCAAGTATTTATGTTACTAATCTTTTTATTGTTTTAGAACGAATCTAACATGCAGAGGACGAATTCTTTGGATTCGTTGAATAAGTTGCCTGCTTTGGATGACGGTAAGTTTGGTGATAAATATGTATAAACTTTAAATATTTAAATCTTTTGATAGTCGATAAGATTTTATAAGGTGAAGGAATTTAGTGAATGAATCTGAAAATGTGTGTAGGATTCGGCCCACCCGTGGCTCCCCCACGAGGGTGGAGACCCGTTCGTCCACCTACGACAATACCCCAAAGGCCACCAAGAACACGCAACATTTATCACAAATTTTAAAACCGTGACGTCCGAGGTACAAGCGAAACGCGCGCTCCCCTCTCAGTGCAAGACACACTGTTAACACGCTTTCGCACTATGTAAACCAAAGCATTTCGGCCTCGCACAAGCTTTCTAGTGTCCGCCGATGAGACATTGTTTTCTGATAGACAGCTTTCAGAGTTAGAAACTATTTTTTCTTTAGATTTTCATAGGCATCGACATATTTGTGGCTTACGATTTGTTCCCATAACAGTTTTCTGCGTGCGTACCACGTTTCGATATTAATAATTTTCCGCGAGCATGATTAATATGAATAACATGTCATTTTCATCAGTTTTCACAGGCTTAATTTGAATGCAAAGCTCGGGCGAGAATTTCTAAATGAACTTGTGCTTGTTTCAGGTGATCTAGTCACGACAATGACGAAGATCTATGATGAACGCAAGAAGAAATTAAACCCTTCGATTTTATCCGACGAGAACATCCCGTACGTGGACGAATCACCCGAAAAGATCTGCAGGCAATCGGTCTCGTATCTGAACAAAGAAAACATTCCTAGCTCGCCGAAGCTCTATCGCAATCCAAGCCTGCACAAGAGCCAGTACACCAATTCTAAGCTCCTATCAACGTGCCCCAATAACACCTATAAAATAAAGGAGAAGTTGGAGGTTGCCGAAAAGGACGAAGATTGTACGATCGGTGTCCAAATTCCCGACAACGACAAAGTTGCTCTAACAACAAGTAAAAAGGTTAATATCATGACCTCGACAGGCAACTCCCGACTACGACGCTCCGAATCACTCAACAAACCAGAGCGAACTGTCTCTCCACTGAACAATAAACTGAAGCGTTCGGAAAGCTTAAACAAAGCCAATGACCGTCTTAAACGGTCGGACAGTCTGACGAAAAACGAAAAAACCGAGAGCAATATTAGTAAAAAACGCGAAATCAGTGGCACTCGACGTGGAAAGGATGTTTTCAAACTGAAACGCAAGAACGGAATGCCCGATCGGTCCATCAAACGACGCCACACGGTTGGTGGTTACCCTGATAAGATTATCCTTGACAATCGTTCGCGCGAAGAGGTCGCCGATAACGAGAACAAGAAAGAGAAGACGTTGCGCACCAGCTCGCCGGACCTCAGCTCCACGCGACGTGAACGTCTGTTTCTCGAAGTGAACTTTTATGATTCGGAGAATATGATTTTATCCTTGCGTCAGCATCTGGTAGGCGCACGGCCGCAGAGTTTTCCCGAGTCGGTGTATAAGGTGCCGCTCGAATCTCACGTCTAATCGTCGCGCAACTCTTTCGACCTGGATTCTAAATGCACGCCTAGTTCAAATAATGTCTGTGCCTTGAATATTATATTACGCGATGCTCTCTTGAGAACAATCAAAAACCCGGAACGACAGACTGAGAATTACAAATCAATGTGCAATTTAAAATCACGATTAAGGTAAACGAATTAAGTAATGATTTCACGCAGGTATAGGTGTCCCTTGGACGCGCGGTCGTTCACTTTTATTATACATTAATTATTTTATCGATTGCTATTACTTGTTTATGATCGACTAGAAATGAAATTTCTATATAAAACGCAAAAGAAAGCTGAGAGCGCATTTAAATAATTTTATATTATTATTTTATTATTCATATTCATATTCTCTTATTTGTTATTATTTATTTTGTAACTAAAACAATTTGCTTCATTTTAATATTATGTGATTATGATTACATATTCCAGGATTAGCAATTTGAAATTTGTGATAACTCTTCTTGTATAAAATGATAAAATATTGTACATAGTATATAGAATTATGTAACTTTGAAACGCGTTTTACCCAAGAGCGTAAATAATTTTTATATCTGCTAGATATGCACCGATCAATCAAACTATTTTTCCACAAAATTCAGTTGTACATAGTAATATGATTAAATTATTCTCGTTTTAATTTTTGCAGTCGCCGTGTTGCAGTATTATAATAAATACTGTGCCAAAATGCAAGAACATCAATAATTGTATGCAATTATGCAGAAAGTAAATAATGGAAATTTCTTATGATATATTATTGTAAATAAAGAATTTAATGCAAATATAGGATTAACTATTTCGTCGCGGTAAGGTGATTTCTATTATTTAGGCTGTTTGTGACTTGCCTGTTACTGTTTTATTTTTATAGTTTTAAGGATAAATGTGTATGTTTGTTTTACTTCTGAAAACGATTAAGTATTGAATAAAAAATTTGGAAGATACGATTGCACATTTTTGTTGTCACTTATCCGTTTATTATTATGGCTTATAAAGCCATATACATGACACCAGATAACATTTCTTTTAAGACATGAATAAAAGTGCAATATTTATACCTGAAACAAATACAGTAAGGTAAGAGAGCTTGGTGGCTCAGGTGTATATCATATACTTGAATGCTAGGGGTTCCTAAATCCTAAAAAGTTACCAAAATAATCGTTGTAGAATTAAATTATCTATCAGGCAGGTATACGATTTAAAATTTCATCGAAATTAATAGTTCCATGCATAGTACGAGTACAATTTTTCTCATGTTCTGCACCACCACATTGAAAGTATCAGTGTTTACAAACAAACATGTTTTCTTATCTCGTGCAATTTTTGTGCGATCGCCACGCGGTTGGCTTGTGTACCACGTTAGTCTCATTTTTGTCGTCAGGTGATCTGCACGCACCTTTTCTTCATTATTCTTGAGTTGCTAAATGCTTCTTCGATTGTGCGCGTTCATACCACGCGGATTGTACATACTCGGGGGTAAAACGTGAGTAATGTTCCGTCGGCCGTAGTATTCTTTTGGTATTATACGCGTATTTCATCGGTTCTACAATGTGCAATTAAGGTCCATACAACTTATTGGATATACCTAAACGCAAACATTTATTTTGCATCAAGGTATGTTCTCGCATTTCTTTAGCCATTTGAAAATCAAATCCATTATTGACTTTACTTGTTTGCGCTTTTCAATTATTTCACATGATTCAAAATAAAATTCTGATTTGTGCTTTAATTTTTTAATTTTGTTTTTGGATTCCGAAAGTAAATTAAATTCGGAATGCAGTAACACAATTATAGATTAAGGCCCTATTGACATGTAAAATCCAATTTTTGGATTAAAAATGCAAGTTGTATCAAACTAATTGACATTGATATACCAATACATAAATAATAAAAGCACACAATACTACAATTATCTACCTGGTGTTCCCAGTCGATGGTACGCGGTGGTGTCGTGAGCACGTGTTTTGTTCTTGAGTTTATCTACATAGTTATTAATCCCGTTTCTTCAGATGTTAATATGATAGTAACATGGACGACAATCAATTTCAGCCAGGGTGGCTTACAGTTATTGAATTGTTGCTCATGGAATCGGATGTTGAGTGACTTTGTTAACATTCGTGGCTACCGTCGGATACCGTCCGCGTGCTATATGTCGAATTGGTATTATTATTATTATTTATTTATTTAACGGTTCATTTATTAAAATGAGTATCAATTCATACTAAAGTAAAATTTTTGTTGTTAACGGAAAAACAATTAAGTGAGTGTCGTCAATGCAAATTAAAACTAACGTACCTATTTATTAATTTTAATATGAATTTGTTTTTATGCATAGAAAATAGTTTCACCACACGTTAAAGAAAAACAAGTACATACTTCCTTGATTGTATGAGCAACATTAAAGTTAGTATTGATAGTATTGCCATTCTGTATCAACTCTATGACTTAGTTTTGTAATTTTCTGGCGGGAAAACCATAAAAACTGCATTTTTGTGTTTCGAGACACTATTTTTTCTTGTTTTAGGGCTGTAGAAACTGAACTGGAACCCGCAGGAGCGTAATTTTTGCATGAAATTGTAAGGATTGCCATTCTGTATCATTTCTATGACTTAGTTTTACAATTTTCTCACGGGAAAACCATAAAAACTGCATTTTTGTGTTTTGAGACACTATTTTTTGCTGGTTTTAGGGCTATAGAAATTGAACGGGAACTCGCACGAGGGTCATTTTTGCATTAAATTGTCAGTATTGCCATTCTGTGTCATCTCTATGACTTATTTTTGCAATTTTCTCACGGGAAAGCCATAAAAATTGCATTTTTGTATTTCGAGGCACTGATTTCTGTTTATTTTAGGGCTGTAGAAATTGAACGGGAACTCGCAGGAGGGTCATTTTTGCATCAGATTGTAAGTATTGCCATTCTGTATCATCTCTATGACTTAATTTTGCAATTTTCTCACGGGAAAACCAGAAAAACTGCATTTTTGTGTATCAAGACACTAATTTTTCTTGTTTTAGGGCTATAGAATTTGAACGGGAACTCGCAGGAGGGCCATTTTTGCATCAAATTGTAAGTATTGTCATTCTGTATCATCTCTATGACTTATTATTGCAATTTTCTCACGGGAAAGCCATATAAATTGCATTTTTGTATTTCGAGGCACTGATTTCTGTTTGGTTTAGGGCTGTAGAAATTGAACGGGAACTCGCAGGAGGGTCATTTTTGCATAAAATTGTAAGTATTGACATTCTATATCATCTCTATGACTTAGTTTTGCAATTGTCTCACGGGAAAGCCATAAAAACTGCATTTTTGTGTTTCGAGACACTAATTTTTGCTGGTTTTAGGACTTTTGCACCTGAGTATGTCACTGTCGACGGACCATTCTTGCACCAGATTGTAAGTATTTAATTTCTTTATCATTTTCCTAAATAACTTGTGATTATCTCACAAATTGATCCCCAAAATTGCATTTTTATGTTCGAAGGACTAATTTTTGTTGGTTTTAGGGATTTCGCACCTGAGTCTGACACCGTAGAAGGACCATTCTTGCATCAGATTGTAAGTATTTAATTTCTTTATCATTTTCCTTAATAACTTTTGTGATTATCTCACAAATTGACCTTCAAAATTCCATTTTTATGTTCAAAGGACTAATTTTTGCTGGTTTTAGGGATTTTGCACCCGAAGTCGACATCGTAGCAGAACCATTCTTGCATCAGATTGTAAGTATTTAATTTCTTTATTATTTTCATATATAGCTTTTATGAATAACTTATGAATTAGCGAGAAAAATTTACTTTTTGTGTTTTGAAGATTTTGTGATTTTGCTGGTTTTCGAGGTTTAACACATGAACGCGTCATCCGCGTAATATCAGCGAGGTCCCTAAAAATGTAAAATTTAATTCTTCATGGCGTTATATTCTAATGTCGTAGGAGATGTACCTGTAGAACGTGTATTGTTAGATAAATTGTACGTTTCGTACGTTGTTATGTCGATAACTTGTAACTGTTTGTTTACATTTAGTCATTTTGAAAAGTTTTTGGATTATATATAATATGGATTGTGTTTTATTAATTTTCATTCAAGTGAGGGAGATAGAAATACGAGGATTGGGTGATAGCGGGTGAGTTAGAATAAGAGAGTAATATCCAAGTTTCATGTTCAATCCATGTTCTTTATATGATCTGCGAACTTTTCACACTTTGAAATACAATGGTAGGTAGTACGAGAGGGTGAGTATAAGCTAAGTAAAGTTAAGTAAACACTTACTGTACGCTATACCCTCACAATATCGCCAAAACGATATTTTTACTAAACCATTGCAAGTCAATGCAAGTATTTGTCAAGCCTGATGTGGATAGCTATTTCGACCATTAGAGGTCTCATCAGCACACCTATTGGCTTGACAAATACTGCACGTAGGTACGTAGGTAGTAAAAAAAAACACAATTTTTTTTGTTTTTTTTTTTTTTTTTGGAAAACATTTAATAAATTAAGTATAAACAAAAACAATTAAATAGAAAATAACTTACACAGTACATATTTCTTATTGTTTACGATTTAATAATAATTTTTATACAGTACCTTTTGACGAACAAATTACCTGCTAATTTTTAAAATTTACATATGATTGACATCATTGATGATTTTACGACGAGAGTTTTATTATTATGTCACTTGTGCCCTGATACGTAGGTAGTAAAAAAAAACACAAAGTAGAGACGTTAATAATAGGGAAGAGAGGGGGAAAAAGGGGAGTAATTAATTTAGAGGAATATTTGTGAGAGTTTTTTGGTTATTTCTATAATGATTTTTAAGGGGATGAATTAGTATGTTTTCTGTTAACTTGGACGCTAAAATGTGATGTTTATAAAAATTGGTATTTAATTTTTTAATGTAATTTGAAATTGTTTCGCAGCGCGTACGTTCATGAATAATTTTGGTGCGAATTCGAGATTGTCGCGTGATTTTGAGTATGTTCCGGAGAATCGCGTTTTGGAAAATTTGCATTTTGGATTTAGTTGTTTTCGCAGCAAGTTCAGTTACTTGTGATCCGTACGTTAAAATTGGAAGAATGTAAGATTTGTAGATTTGGGTTTTCAGATGTGTATTTAATTTTGAATGGGGTCCAAGAAGGGGGTATAATTTTGTTTTGGTAATTCTGGCTTTGCATAAGGCTGAAGAGATGTGTTTTTTGAAAGTTAATTTTTTGTCAATAATTACGCCTAAATATTTGGGGTCGGGTGTTTCTGGGATGTTTAAATTGTTTAAAGAAGGAGTAGATTGATGATTCTTGGATTTTCTTCGGTTGCCGAAGTAGGTAATTGTGGATTTTTCCGGGTTTGGGAGGAGTTTCCACTTTTGGTAATACATTTGGAGTTTGTTTAGGTGTTGTTGGGTGTATTTGTTAGCTTGAGCGGTTTGAGATGATGTAGTGATGATTGCGGTATCATCAGCAAACAAGGCAATATCGGTATTTGGATCGGTAGGAATGTCGTGGGTATAAATGTTGTAAAGTTGGGGAGAAAGTACGCCGCCTTGTGGGACCCCTGTGGTTAATTTTTGCGAGTTGGAAAAAGTGTTTTGAAGTTTTACTTGGAAAGAGCGATTGCTCAGGTAGTTGCGTATTAGCAGGATTAGATTTTTGGGATATTTTAAGAGAATAAGTTTATAAATTAACGCGTCATGCCAAATAGTGTCGAATGCTTTTGTTAAGTCTATTGTAGTTAAAGAGGTAGTTTTGTTCAGATTAGTGTTAATGGTGATTTTGTTAATAATTCTAGCTATTTGCATGTTAGTAGAATGATGTTTTCGGAAGCCAAATTGGGAGTCAGGTATAACTTTAAGTAATTGGGTGTGTTTTGTTAGTTCTACATTAATAATTTTTTCGTTAAGTTTACCGAGCATAGAAATTAAGCTAATAGGACGATAATTTTGTGGAAGTGTTGGGTTTTTATTCGGTTTTGCTATTGGGATTACTACAGAGTGTTTAAATTGTTTAGGGAAGTAATTTAGTTGGTAGCATGCATTATAGATTTTTACTAGTTGAAGGATAAAGTTGTTTGGATATTTTTTGATCATTTCGTTAGTAATTTTGTCTTTACCAGGAGATTTTTTATTGGGAAGTGATTTAATAAGTGATTGTAATGACATGAAATTTATAATTGCTATTTCGACCATTAGAGGTCTCATCAGCACACCTATTGGCTTGACAAATACTGCATTGACCTGCCATGGTATTTCAATCTTATGCTTGCTTGAGCTAACTTCAGTCTCCACCGTCAGGTGGAGCTGACAATACTTCTGCGTCTTGAATTATAAGCCAGTTGTATATAAGCCATGGCAGGTCAATGCAGTATTTGTCAAGCCAGTAGGTGTGCTGATGAGACCTCTAATGGTCGAAATAGCTATCCACATCAGGCTTGACAAATACTTGCATTGACTTGCAATGGTTTAGTAAAAATATCGTTTTGGCGATATTGTGAGGGTATAGCGTACAGTAAGTGTTTACTTAACTTTACTTAGCTTTTCACACTTTGATTATGATGTCACTTCGACCTTGGCCTGCGCAGCACGCTGTGCGCTGTTATTTGAAATTTGAACAGTACCGCACCGGTCGCCGTGCGTCGTCGGGTTCAAGTGACAATTCGCTATACTGCTCAGTACATCTTGCGCTGGCGTATTGGTTGTTGTTTTTTTACTGTTTAGCCAGTCGGTGGTACGCAATTGTGCTATGTGCACGTGTTCCATTTCTTCTCCGCCACTGTTCGTCGGGACTGTTAGTATTTCGGGCGATTTCAATACCGTGCGAGCCTTGTGATTTATCTCGACTCGAGACTTAAGACACCACGTGCGCGTGTGAAACCATTAGTCGCCGGCCTTCGGATCTCTTGCGTTGGGCTACGGATTCCAATTGGATTTATAGGCCAATATGGTATTGTAAATTAGAAGGGATAAATCACGCGTTTTCTCCGTGTGGCATAGTTGTTAGTGCAAAAGGTATACAGTGAGTAGTAACATCAATTCTACTAACAATTCTGCTTTGCGTGTAACATTTCATAAGAGAGCGTTGTGGCTCGTTGGTATGTAGGATATGCCTTGGATCGTACGTACGTTCGTTTTATTAAAAAAGAAAGAAGAATGTATTGTTAAATATAAGTAATAAAACTAAGTTTACAATTAAAATCTCATTCATATTTTTTTGTGATATCTTGTTTGTCATTTTCAGGATATGCGTCTTAAATCATATTTTATATGAAGCTTATGTGAGTGCAACATAGGTAAGGCTTGTGTTGTTGTTTTTAAAAAGTTTAATAAAGTAGAAACATAAATAGAAGAATCAAATATAAATGATAAAAACACTCGGTGGTCGAGTGGATACGTGCACCTGCTGGCATGCTGGTAGACACGGATCGAGTCTCAGGTATCGGAGGCATTTTTCTCAAATATAAAAATATCAGGTGAAATTTGGGTTGCATATATGAATGGCAACGAAATATAAGAGAAATTGAAATACAAGTGAAGACAATGGAGACATAAGAAAGCAAGTGGAGAAACAGAGAAATAGAAGGAGTAGTAGAAGATAAATGGAAGAGAATAGAGAGTAGAGTAGAGAAGAGGAGGAGATAGAAGAAAGAGAACAGGAGTGGACGAAATTTTTAAATTTTTTGGCACGTGTCGTTATAAGACAGTCTACGGTCGATCTCCCAGAGCGCCTCCGGCGCTCTGGTCGATCGCCCACTGCTTCGATGCGTCCATTGCTCCCGGCCCATCCTACAGCTACGATGTCTCTGCGCTTCATCCCCGAAATTATCAGGCATATCAACAATTTTTATGGTGGGGGATCACCCCCAGAGAGAGGGAACTCCTTATAAGGACGATCCTTATAAGGTCTTGTTCAAATATTTCTAAGTTTAAAGTCGTCTCAAGAGAGACGACACTTAAAAATACTCTTACAAGTTCTGACCTGTACCTGAAATGAAGGAAGGAGTACACAAATCATACAGGTTACCTTAACAATATTTATAGTGGGGATCATCCCCTGAGAGAGGGAACTCTTCCTGAAATGATAGAGTGGGTACACACAAATAAAAGAAGTCAATATATCTTACTATTTATTTATTAAGAATAGAATACAAGTTTTGATTTTACAAGTCAACAAAATACATGCCGCCATATTGAAACAAGACTTACGACCTGCATCGTCGCGCACATGCAAGTAAGTAGCACTTCGCAAAGTACTACCGGTGATTGAAAATGGAAACAAATATACAGGGTGTTACAGAAAGAAAATTTAAAGTGAAAAGAAAAAACTCTAAACTAGTGTTTACAGTCAAACGTCGCTCGTTTTCATCGACAATCAGGAAAATTAATATACAGGGTGTTTCTAATAGAAAATTCAAAGTGCAAAGAAGAAAAACCTAAAATCAACAGTTAAAGCTAAATTTTCACGGACAACAAAGAAAATGAATATACAGGGTGCTACAAAAAGAAAATCAAAAGTTAATGAAAGAAAACACTCGGGAATAACAAATTTAGAAAACTTGTAATGGGAAATCAAGAAAAACAAACATACAGGGTGTTACAAATAGCAAATTCCTTAATTTAAAAATAAAATACAAATTTTAAGTAGAAAACGACCCGGAAACGATAAATTTAGTCAGTTTTACATTAGAGAGCAAGGAAAAATAATACATAGGGTGATATAAGAAGAAAATAGCTACATTTAATTAGAAAATTTAACATTCTCGATGCCGAGAATTAGATTCACGAGAAGGTGACTGAACAAAACTACAACTACATTTTGAATTAAGAATTGGGAGCTAGAAGAAAAATCAATGAAAATTTAAATTTAAAAAATGTAAATTTAAAAACAGGAAAGGTAGGAAAGGTAGAGTGATAGATAAATAAAACATCAATATGAATTTTATTGCGATCCTAAAATTTTCTTTGCGACGTGTTATCCAAATACGCCACAAGCAAGGCAAAATGTGTCGGCCGACGGCAAGTCATGTACACACGCGGGAAGAAATTTAAATTGTCTATTAAAACACGTCTCCGCGATTGGAGGATTATGACATCAAAAGAAAATACGAGCAAAGGAAGTTCACGCTATTAAATCGATGATTGACATCGAAAAAGCAAAGTCTGCAGCGAAACCGATGACGCATCCGACGGCACGCGTCAATTTTGAGTTATTACGGTACTCACGTTACATGTGATTTAAAACTAAAATGTAATTAATTATGATTTAATAAAGTTTACAAACTTACCAGTGTGTCGGATAATCAAAGAAAGTACTGAAACAAAAAGTAGCACGTGTGTGAGAATTTGCACTATGATGCTCACTTATTTAAACCAGTTCCATCCCATAATGAACATGCACTATTTTAACCGACAATATTCCCGCGACATCCTGCCGAAGACAGACGTTAATTACACTTACTCAAAACTATCCATAGGATACATATTTCTAATTTCAATTCTCAGCATCAAAATAATTCAATAGCCGACGGACCACTAACGCATGGATGAAGCATAAGTTTTATTATCATTTTACCCGGAATTAATTTTTTGCAAAACACTATACAAGTTTATTGTTATTAAGTGCCAATATTTATGCCAATTTTTAATTAATAAATAATAATGTAGTTAATGTAATCGAAATGAATAAAAGGACGATGCCGAGTGGCATGTAGGTAAGAACAGACTGAAATGGTCGAACGTTCGTTGCGTAGCGTAGCGTGAACACAACATTGCGCGCGTTTATCGCGATACAAAAAGTTGTTTATACACAAACCCCGATAAGCCCGTATGAAATCGAAACATTTCTAATGTGCACTTAATCCTTTGAACTATAACTACGAGTCTCACTCGTTGTTTTTAAGTTGAGACAAATCTAAGTACCACGAGCGTGAGCCGTGTTTCGTGGTCCGAACCGTTCGCATAGTATACGAGCGTTACTCGTGGTTCGCCGCTGGAGCCAATTTCAATGTTAATTAAATAAAATATAATATAATGTTTCACATCAGTTATAAACTGGGTTATCCTAATGATGTATAAATCAATATGGGGGCGATATTTATTTGATTCATCTAGCAACTGTTGTGAGTTGCAATATACTCTGTCCCCGCGATCATAAACCGGCCGCACAATAAACGCGCAAATAGTAAATAACATTACTCTAGTGATTACAATTAAATAGTCGAGTGATGATTAAATATAATACAAACAATAAAATGTAAAATTAAATGAAAAATTAATGAAAAATTAAAATTCGATTTGCGTAATTATGCTGACAGAGTGCCAGATTTTACATCAAATATTTAAGTGATATGTGCTTAAGTGCTCTGCTGCTGATAAAAATGTTTTGCTGATGATGATTTTTATAATAAACAATTCCACCTAATGTAACATTGTTAGTTATATTCATGTTTAAAATACAAGTTTATATTTTACATGTCAACAGAATACATGATGCCATATTGAAACAGGACTTACGATCTGCATATCCGCGCACATGGAAACAAGTACCACTTAGTAAAGTTCTAGTGGGATAAAGAAATTAGCAAATAGCCTATTTCCTACGGGGAAATAGACACACCTACCAGTGCAATGATGAAGAGATTTTAGATCCAGGAATATATCTTATCAACTGAAAACACGTGCAGAAATTAACTGACACTTATTTCTTACTTAAGAACACTCTAACCGCCACAACTCATCAAACAAGTCAGCCACACATGCTCGTTACGAATATTATGCTGATGACGAAAAGAATACACGACGATTAATTGAATAATTGAAGTCTGAAAACGCGTGGCTAGTAGAGACGCGCTCGCGGACCACGACTTTGAAACGACTGCCGTGTGCGCTGCGCGTTGCCAGGTACAAGGCAGGTACGTCGCGATAATACACGTCAGTCGAACAAAAAAGTAGTTTATAAACAAACGTCGTGGTAAACACTTACTTGAGAAGACGAAAGTAAAAATTCACAATATTGAAATAACACACATACACGAAATCTACTTTTACTTTCAATATTTTTTAGCATTTTTCAATTCCGAATAGCACCATTTATATTTTATATTTTATGAATACGACTCACTATCGCTACCTTCGAACGGTGCCCTGAACACGAGTCATTTCTACCGCTACCTTCGGACGGTGCCCTGAACACGAGTCACTTCCACCGCTACCTTCGTACGGTGCCCTGAACCCGAGTCACTTCTACCGCTACATTCGTAGGGTGCTCTGCACACGACTCACTTCTACCTCTACCTTCGTAAGGTGCCCTGAACACGAGTCACTTCTACCGCTACCTTCGTAGGGTGCCCTGAACACGAGACACTTTTACCGCTACCCTCATACGGTGCACTGAACACGAGTCACTTATATCGCTACCCTGCTATGGTACACTGAATGAGACTCAACTAAATCAACAAAAAATTAACAAAACCCTCTTGCGCTATCTGAATCCGATAAAAATTTGAACATTTCACATAGGTTTTCCGCAATATAATCTGTTTTCCATATTATCATTAAGTGAAATATATACGCGCCCCCTAATTCACGGGCTATTGCGTGAAATGTGATAAAACATTTAACCGTATAATATAACTTAATTATAAACTTACCAATGCAGCGCTCATCAGATTGTAAGGGTACAGCAAGTACTGTATTTAAAAGAAAACATAAGTTAATATATAATTGTATATAATTGTATGAATTACTTGTTATAAGAAAAAAACTACAATTCCTAGCGCAACGAGTACCACGGTGCAAACACACAACTTTCAAAATAACTCGCGTTACGGAATTTTCTCGCAATTAATTTCGATACTGGGAAATACAGAATTAAATTCTGCATCAGGGAAATTTATTCCGTAATTACTCTGACATCGCGCTTGCGTGTTATAAGAAAAAAACTACAATTCCTAGCGCAACGAGTACCACCGCGCACACACACAACTTTCAATATAACTCGCGTCACGGAATTTTCTCGCAATAAATTTCGATACAGAAAAATACAGAATTAAATTCCGCATTAGGAAAATTTATTGCGTAATTACTCTGACATCGCGTTTGCGTGTTATAAGAAAAAAACTACAATTCCTAGCGCAACGAGTACCCGGCGCACACACACAACTTTCAATATAACTCGCGTTACGGAATTTTCTCGCAATTAATTTCGATACAGGGAAATACAGAATTTAATTCTGCATCAGGGAAATTTATTCCGTAATTACTCTGACATCGCGTTTGCGTGTTATAAGAAAAAAATTACAATTCCTAGCGCAACGAGTACCACGGCGCACACACACAACTTTCAATATAACTCGGGTCACAGTATGTTCTCGCAATAAATTTCGATACAGGAAAATACAGAATTAAATTCCGCATCAGGGAAATTTATTCCGTAATTACTCTGACATCGTGTTTGCGTGTTTAAAAAAAAAACTACAATTCATAGCGGAACGAGTACCACGGCGCACACACACAACTTTCAATATAACTAGCGTTACGGAATTTTCTCGCAATAAATTTGGATACAGAAAAATACAGAATTAAATTCCGCATCAGGAAAATTTATTGCGTAATTACTCTGACATCGCGTTTGCGTGTTATAACAAAAAAACTACAATTCCTAGCGCAACGAGTACACGGCGCAAACACACAACTTTCAATATAACTGGCGTTACGGAATTTTCTCGCAATTAATTTCGATACAGGGAAATACAGAATTTAATTCTGCATCAGGGAAATTTATTCCGTAATTACTCTGACATCGCGTTTGCGTGTAATAAGAAAAAAAACTACAATTCCTAGCGCAACGAGTACCACGGCGCACACACACACAACTTTCAATATAACTCGCGTCACAGAATTTTCTCGCAATAAATTTCGATACAGGAAAATACAGGATTAAATTCTGCATCAGGGAAATTTATTCCGTAATTACTCTGACATCGCGTTTGCGTGTTAAACGAAAAAAACTACAATTCCTAGCGCAATGAGTACCACGGCGCAAACACACAACTTTCAATATAACTGGCGTTACGGAATTTTCTCGCAATTAATTTCGATACAGGGAAATACAGAATTTAATTCTGCATCAGGGAAATTTATTCCGTAATTACTCTGACATCGCGTTTGCGTGTAATAAGAAAAAAAACTACAATTCCTATCGCAACGAGTACCACGGCGCACACACACACAACTTTCAATATAACTCGCGTTACGGAATTTTCTCGCAATTAATTTCGATACAGGAAAATACCGAATTAAATTTTGCATCAGGGAAATTTATTCCGTAATTACTCTGACATCGCGTTTGCGTGTTAAACGAAAAAAACTACAATTCCTAGCGCAATGAGTACCACGGCGCACATACACACAACTTTCAATATAACTCGCGTCAGGGAATTTTCTCGCAATAAATTTCGATACAGGAAAATACAGAATTAAATTCCGCATCAGGGAAATTTATTCCGTAATTACTCTGACATCGCGTTTGCGTGTTGTAAGAAAAAAACTACAATTCCTAGCGCAACGAGTACCACGGCGCACACACACAACTTTCAATATAACTCACGTTACGGAATTTTCTCGCAATTAATTTCGATACAGGGAAATACAGAATTTAATTCTGCATCAGGGAAATTTATTCCGTAATTACTCTGACATCGCGTTTACGTGTTATAAGAAAAAAAACTACAATTCCTAGCGCAACGAGTACCACGGCGCACACACACACAATTTTCAATATAACTCGCGTCACAGAATTTTCTCGCAATAAATTTCGATACAGGAAAATACAGAATTTAATTCCGCATCAGGGAAATTTATTCCGTAATTACTCTGACATCGCGTTTGCGTGTTGTAAGAAAAAAACTACAATTCGTAGCGCAACGAGTACCACGGCGCACACACACAACTTTCAATATAACTCGGGTCACGGTATTTTCTCGCAATTAATTTCGATACAGGGTCATGCAGAATAAAATTCTGCATCTGGAGAAATAATTCCGAATTTACTCTGACACCGCGTTCGCGTGTTATACTAAAAAAACTACAATTCATAGCGCAACGAGTACTACGGTGCAAACACACAACTTTCATTATGACTCGCGTTACGGAATTTTCTCGCAATTAATTTCAATACAAGGAAATATAGAATTAAATTCCGCATCAGAGAAATTTATTACGTAATTACTCTGGCACCGCGTTAGCGGTAAAAGTGACTCGTGTTCAGGGCACCGTACGAAGGTAGCGGTAGAAGTGACTCCCATTCAGGGCAGCGTACAAGGCTAGCGGTAAAAGTGATTCGTGTGCAGGGCACCGTACGAGGGTAGCGGTAAAAGTGACTCCAATTCAGGGCACCGTACAAGGCTAGCAGTAAAGTGACTCGTGTTCAGGGCACCGTACAAGGGGCGAGGTAGAAGTGATACCCATTGCGAAAAAATGGGCAAGGAAGGTGCGTGATCCTGTTTTTTGAAGATTTAAGAAATATCTTTGAAACTAAAAGCACTAGCGTCCAGCCTATCTAAGATTATGAAAGTTTGGAAAATTCTCTATAAGATAAGATAAGAAAATAATTAAAATATGAGATGGAAAGGTTCTGAAATCGTGTCTAAAAGTGGAAAAAGTGAACTTTTAAATTTTTGAGAGTTTTCCCCGATTGTGAATATCTAGAAAACTAAAAGAGATACAGAGGAGCGGATTGAAACGCGACTGTCTTAGGTCTTTGCAACACGCGGAGGAACGCAAAAAAAAACTACGAAATACAAACTTATGTACGACGAACGAATTAAAATGAAAAATATTATTGAATTATAAACTTACCAATGCAGAACACGTCGGACTCCAAGGCACGGCAAATACTGTAAATAAGAAAAGAAAACATTATATTCATGTAATATTATATTCAAACAGCGGAAAAAAATAATCATCTATGCTGTTTACGCAAAACTTCCTTACACCAGCACGATGGGTCATCCTAATGATTTGCTGCTTAAGTGATCAGCTGATGATAAAAATGTTTTGCTGAGGATGTTTTTTTTATATTAAACTATTACACCTAATGTAAAATTGTTAGTTATATTCATGATTTGAGAATTGAAGAATAGATACTTGCTTAAATTTACGATGCCAATATAAACTGCAACGATGTGATATCTGCAGGTAAACAAACTTATCTCTTGTGCGAAATCGCGTGGTCGCACACGGACACGGTGTGCACTCACTACCACCGACAAGTAATATTTAACGCGAAAACGTGCATCGTAGTGCCATCTAACCGGTTATCTAGTAATGGGTTTAAATTTAAAACACATTTTATCAAATATGCATAAGTCATGATATGTCATAAGCAATTTAATAATGCCTATCAAATCGCAATATTGCTTTAATTTGTACTCTATGATACAATAAAATAATATTATATCTACACATGGGAGAAAACAAACTTTCTGTGCTGAGTATCACAATGGTCAGATAAAAGTAACTTACTCAAGCACGGATAGGTTTCCGATTGATGTAGCGACCGACCACGTCCCACAATAACCGAAATATTTGATTTGAAATATAAACATCAAAAGCAAGCATATAAAACATTTATGCACATTAAACGCACAATTACTTATTAAGAAAACACTGCAGACGCATATTACGACTAAGTCGATTGATGATCGAATATAATGCTAACTTTGAAAATACAACTATGATAAAACGAAACGCGTTGCGCGATATACGTCTGGATACGCCCGAGACCGGCACAAAACTAGCTGCAATCCATCAATATGCCGAAACTGCGCATGCAATGATGCGACAGGTCACAAATAAGACTCTGTGCCTGCTGCATAAACCCGGCAGGTAAAAACAATAGATGCGCAAAGCCAGCGCGTCGATGTCACGCGACCTTGTGTGCGAATTGCAATAGATGCGCAAAGCCGGCGGCGCGTCGATGGCACGCGACCTTATGCGTGAATTGCAATAAGAAACAAAATTGTGCGACAGCGCGACGATAGACGAAAATATTACGCGTAGCATCTCGCACGGCAATTGCGATAAAAAAGTTGCTTATACACAAACGCTGATAATAGAACTGTCTTCAAAACTAATCTATTCTATTTTATGATTTTTAGTTCATGCTAGTGAACTAAAATTTAAATCATGAAATTATGATTTATGATTTGAGTTTGTATTGAAGCATTTATTGAAGCAAAAGTTTCCACAATGGATATCAATTTTCTAATTGCAAGAAATCGGGAAAACAGATTCTATGAATGACAAAAATTTTACTTAGCAGTGTATCGAATGCCGCAAATCAAATGTGAGTAGATACTGAAATAAAGAAGAAACAAAACATTAATTACACAATTTCGGACAAATAGTTCCGGCGGAACCCAAAGTTTACCAAAAATTTCGTCTAGTTCTCCATAATTATTTAAATTAGTATTCGTACCAGGTAACACATTGAGCCAACGAGTTGTGCAGTAGTCAAAAATGGTTCGCACAAGTCCAAATTATTATTTATAATCACACACAAAGCGGCCGACCGGCGTCCGACGGCAACCGATCAGAAATCCACGCGAAAATGTAATAAACACACACAATAGTGAATTCCGAAGATTACATACGCGATAAATATTTACCGAACGACCAAACACGGCAATTAACAGTAAATTCAATAAAATATAACGCGATATACCGAATTTACAACGAGAAACACGAATACTCTGCGGAGTATTCTTATCTGCAGCACAAAGTAAGAGTTGCGTGCCGGCATCACAACTGTGCACGTCGACTTTCACTCGCAGGAATATTTTTAGTTAAAACATGCATCGCTGCGCCACCTGAGAATACTTTATTGTACCACCCGAAAATACAAAGCGTTTCAAAAAGTGTGTGAGCGATTGCCTATGCATCAGTGAGTGGTCACGCACTTAAGTGGCCGTGTCCGTGTATCACACGTACACGAGAGTGCGCATGCACCACCCTATCTAAATTAATAGCAATTATTGCACATAACTCAAAACTTCAAATATAAAAGTCTATAGGATACACTTATTCAAAATAAATTATCAATTAATAATAATATTATATTCTAATTATATTATTAATTGATAGTTTTTATCGACGATTTTCGACAGCGAATATCTTGTAAACTAAAAGTAATAGCAACCAGAAAATTGTTGATTTTGGAAGATTGGAAAATTTTCAGATGGATAAAATTAAATAAATAAAATAATTCAATTTAATCGGGCAAGAAGTCAAAAAACGCGACGGAAAGTGCCGAAAATTGAAATTTATCAAATTTTAACGTTTTATTTCAATTGCAAATATCTCGTAAACTAAAGGAGACAGATAGAAACGAATGGCAGAGTCTTAGTCTACAGAAAATGCTCTATAAAATAAGCTAGTTAAAATGGAAACCTAAGAGATGAAATTTTAATTTTTAATTTAATTTTTAAAAAAATCAAAATATTTGCGACGGAAATCAAAGAAAAGTAAAAGAGGAACAATAGGGCATCTTTATTTTTAATCATGAAAAACAACTAGCGACCAAACCCAGAAAGCCGCCAGAAAATCAAGAACGTAGCCGACGGCAATTTTAATCTTTTTAATTTGTGCGATAAACAAAAACGAAACAATGTATTGCATTCGTAATGCAAATCAACGATGGTGCCAGTGCTAGCCACACAAATTATTTGTGTGCTTAAAGACCACGCGGTTAGAGTAAAAACAAGTAAAGCAAATATTGGATTTGATTTTCATATGTCTGAGGAAATGGAAGAACATACCTGAATGCAAAATTATTAAGACCTTAATTGCGCACATTGTAGGAACGATGAAATACGCCTATAATACGAAGACTCACTCTACGACGGCCGACGGAACATCACGCACGCTTTACCTCTGAGTATGTAGAATCCACCTTTAACGAACACCGCACATCACTCACGCACAATCGAAGGAACATTGTGAAATATTACATAATAACGCGAAGAAAAAGGTACTCAAATTACTGTAGAGAAAATGTGCGTGCAGATCACCTGACGACATAAATGAGACTAACATGGTGCGCAAGCCAACCGCGTGACGACCGTACAAAAATTGTAAGCGATAAGAAAACATGTTTGTTTGTAAACACTGACACTTTCAGTGTGGTAGTGCAGAACATGAAAAGAATTGTATTCGTACTATGGAACTATTAATTTCGATAAAATTTAATCGAAATGCCTGATAATTTAATTCTACATCGATTATTTTGGTAACTTTCGACAACATTATCCGTTTTGATCCTATTTACAATTTTAGGGAAAAATGCATTCGTTTTTCGTACACCTTTTTGTTCTTGTCATAATCGCCAAAAAGTTCGACCCTGTTCTTCGACCGAAAAACATTTTAATAAAATGGTTCGACCCTGTTCTTTGACCGAAAAAAATTTAAGTAAAAAAAGTTCGACCGTTTTTCGAACGAAAAAAATTTAACAAAAAAATTCGAACAAAAAATTTTGAGTAAAAAAGTTCGACCCTGTTTTTCGACCAAAATAATTTTGACAAGAAAAGTTCGACCCTGTTCTTCAGCCAAAAATAATTTAAACGAAATAGTGCGGCCCTGTCTTTCGACAGAAAATATTTTATGCGACAAAGTTCGGCCCTGACTTTCGACCAAAAAAGTAATTTAAAAAAACAAAATTTAGCCCTTTTTTGGAAATATATAAAATATTAAAATAGATACAAATCTCAAGTTTCGAACAACATCCGGGAAAGATGGAAAATGCAGAAAAAATGAAGTCGATCACTTGTGTATAGCTTATTATTACAAAAAATAATTTATAGATCAATATCCAAGTCAATCATACAATAAGTACAACGATATTATTTACATATAAAGCCATTCTCGTGACGGTGTTTCGAATAAAATCCTATAGAAAATAATCCCTTAGGGACCACGCTTATAAAAAGTACAAAATCGTACATCAATGTCGCAAAATTAACCATCGTTCTGATTGACACCAATTCGTTGTCATAAATAAGTTCTAACAACTAAGTAAAGTAAGTAATTGACTAGATACATAGCATTCTCATAAAAAAGTTCGTTAAGTTCATTGGTAATACTTGAGAATTAAACAATTATGATACATCTTAGAAGTTAATTGCCGATTTCGTCGATTTTCTCGGTTCATTCTTTGTTTCGTTTGCAAGTAAGCAACGCTCATGACTAGAATCTTATTAATTTTATTTATTCTAACGCAGTCTTCTACGTTTTCAATGTGACGGCGTTGAGGGTTTTCCTAATGCGATCGCTACCGCACTTACTCGATTGAAGTCCATCGATAATCTGTAAATAAAACAATATTTAATTATAAATTTCGTCAAAACGAAAGAGTTCTTGATGAAAAATTAGATTAAATATAATACTTACACTAATCAGTTGATCGAATCCGTAGAGCAATCCTTCTTCATGATTTCCCTGCTGCCACTCGTCTCTATGCGTGACAGTCATACCAGCAGGCAGTGGAAGAGTTTTCGCAAAATCGATGAGCCATGCTCCCACTTTATTGTTATCATAGATGATGAATAAACTGCTGCCGATGACTTCATGCCTTTTGAAGTACTCCGATTGTTCAATCTTTGAGCGCATTTCCTGCAGTCGATTTACCAGCCGCTGTTTGACGTCCGGTCGACCGTTCAGGAACATATCCAGGGTGTTGACCACTTGTTCCGTGGATTTAACTTTTTTAAGATCAGTCACAGGAGCGGAACCACGGCACTTCATTGCTTCGATGCGGAACCCATGATTGCAGGATGAACTCTGCTGTTCCCTAAACTGCATGTACCTCAGTTTAGTAACAGCTCCCTCAGCGTGTTCTTCGGGCGTAGGTGCAGTAGGATCAATAGCAATCATTTTCTGGTAGAGGTCTGAACGTGCTGTGGTTTTGCTCACTTCGCTTTCCAGGAAGGTTCTCGTTCCCATTTTGATGTCAATCACGTAAGGATCCTAATCAACACAAACACGTACTATTAGCACACATAAATTGCGTTTCTTTAGGAGTAGTCAACTTACCTTAAACCCATGTAAAAGGTCTTGCAATTCGATAAACTTCTCGCCTTGGTATTCCACCTCGCGGTAGTATTTCGGGATAATGTCATTAACAAAGGCGTCTTCCGAAACTGCTTCGTACACGATGCGTTCTGTGGCGTCTTGACTGCCAGACCGCTTTTCCAGACTGTTCCAGGACCTGCAGGCGCAAGACTATCTGGATGTCCCGATAATTGGAACCAGTTTGAACTGCGGCTCTTGAGAAGGACATCGCTTGCGGGAGCACTCAAGTCTAACGCATTCTATAATAACCACAAGAAAATAATTAATAAACCGTTAATATTGATGTAGTTTAAATGTAAACTTACAATTGCTAAGAATTTGAGCAGCGACATCTCGTCCTCTTTCCCCTTGCCGTTAACGTTCGGCGCGGAAACTTCTTTAATTTGATTCTGAGTCTTCAGGTTTGTCTTCCTCCAGCGTTTGAAAGCGCTGCTGCCACGGGATTTGTTCTGATGGCGCGATTTCCACGCGTCCACATCGTTCAGCTCCTTTTCGGTAGCCTGCAAGAGGAACTGAAGTTGAAGAGTTAATTATTACATACGTCTTGTATAATGTTCGTGCATGAGTGCTGTGCATGAACAAATTTCAATGACAGAGATAAAGCTAATGCTAATCTGTGGCGTGCGGTTGGTCGGCATCGTGGCGGCAACAGCACCGATTATTGAACAAAAACACGATGATAATTGTAATCGTGAGCGCACACGGCGTGCGTCAATAGCGTATATCGATGATTGAAAAATCGCAGCCCGGAAAAAACACACGCACAAATGCGTGTGCGTAAACGGCTCCTAAACATGAAGCTGAGTTAAAGTCGTCAGGACGTTAACTTTCCAAAAGGCGACACGATAAAACAAGCGCCGACGTTGATTGCTTCGACAAATATAGTCTAATTAGATTCGCAATGAGTGTCGACTGCGAAACAATCGCTAACAACTTTTGTTTTGTGTGTTTCTAACTCAAAATAATATCGGAGAGGAAAAGTACTAAATTAACGCGCTCACAAACTAATGCTAAATTAAAATTTCGCTGTGTTCTCACAACTACACACCAAATATTCTTTAGTGTTTACGTCATACACCGCATTATAAATGCACAACGTGTTTCCAACAAAAAGAAAGTTTTGGTTGGATGAAAATGGATCGCAATGTTTCTTTTTTTGTCTTGACACTTACCGATAGCGTCTTGCACTTAAGGCACATTAAATCCGATAGAAACTCGTTGTAGGATTCCTTGCCCTTGTTAGTGACGAAGTTTACAACGGCCGGTACCATTTCGAAATGGTTTACGCACATTTCACACTCGTGAGCACAAAATGAATTGCAGACCAAATCTGCGCACCTCACAAACTAGTAATCCAATGTTAATCCAAATATATCTTTGTATGTTTAGTCCGATCGTACACAATGTTGTGTTGTTGCACTGACAATGAACGATGTTTTATGATACTCAACATTTAACAGACCAAGCGTGTTTCAATTCGTGTGTCTCGTGTAATGCGAATGAATGTCGCTGAGTTGACTGAGCGCTCGTTGGGTGCGCGCTCGGTTTTACTACCGACCAAGCGGTTGGCGCATGCGCAGCACGATCTAAAAGTAAGTGCGCTTCGTCTTTTCAATTCTAGCAAGACCGCAAGTGTAAGCAAAGTTTATTCTAGTATTTTATGTGGTTCATGAATCAGTTTATCACATTAATTTTTCCACACTTTTTACCGGCATCATTTTCTAATTACTCTAGATGAGTATGATGCGTTAGGTTGGTACATTGATGAATATCGAATTTCCCGATTGAAACGCGACGCTGGGACTGATTTGTTGGCAAATTGATCGATGAAAACACGTAAATTCACATGCGTAACTGGCAATCAATTTACGTAATGGGCATCTGCGCGTTGGAAAGTTTGCAACGTGATCAAAATAGAGAAGAACCCATTTTTTGTGGCGTTTGCTTTCTTTTGACGGAAATTTATAAATATTATTACTCATGAAAAATTTTATTTGGACTCTGACTAGTAAACTAAAACACACTGTCAATGTTGTTGGTAAATTGATTTTAAAATAAATTAAAATAAATTAGCTTCTAATTTTCTGCAAAATTAGATAGTTGAAACAAAATAAAAACATTGAATAATATCTTTGAACTTGACACTGAAAATGCATTAGGGTTTTTTAGTGTTAATTTAATTTTTTTGTTCGCATTATTTAATTGTTTTGCGTTTTCCAAAATTCAATTGAAAGGTTAACATCTTTGTATTCATACAGAAAGAATTGATTGAATAATTTCGCTAAAAGCAAGTGAAAACAATTTTTCAATTTGGTTGATATAGGGGAAAGTCGCTTAAGTCGTACCGTCACGTAAGTCGTACCTCGGTCTTTTCTCTAACTTGAAGGCACTTTATGCAACTTAAAATGCTGTATTCGGACAGCATGAAATCATACTGGAAGCATATTCTTTAATCAGTTCCCGCCGAATCAGTATTGAGAAGTTATGCGCAAAAATAGTTTTGCTCCTCGTGCTCATCCAATTTCTCGTGGAGCTTGAAAGCATTGGTGGTCAGTAAAACACCACTAAATATGTGTTGCATGTTAAATATTGGTTATACATCTATCCATGTATTGTTTTCTACATGGATTTTGTTAAATAATCCTTCTGATATATTGTTTAAGGTTGTTTTAAGCGGGAAGCACATGTTTGCTAACTCGTACCCCTTTGCGTTTTTTAAGTCGTACCTATAGAACATATGGGACTCAAGGTTTCAGCTGCGCCACGAGGCGGCGCTACGGTTGCGCGCCGATGATACTTAACTAGCGTGATGAGAATAGGGAAGATAGTATGATTCAGTGCCTCAAATGCAAAATTTGGATGCATGACAAATGTGTGGGGGTGTCCAAACGCGTATAAAATACCTTGCAAATAAATACATTATTATTAAACTAATATATATTCTTATTTTGTTATTTCTTTGACATAGGTACGACTTAGGGTATCGAAGGTACGATTTAGGGTACCGGTTTGTTAAGTCGTACCGTTCACACATTTTTGTTAAATCGATGTTTTACAAAAATATAAACATTTCTAATTAATTTTTCTCATACGAATTAAATCTATATTAACTAAAGCAGGTAAATATGTCGAAAAACTGACATTATGTTGCAAAACTTTCAATCTAGGGCCAATTGTATTTTAGAGGTACGACTTGGCCAACCTTCCCCTATGTTAAATTATGTAAAGTACAATTAGCATAGGAGGTGATTTTAATAAACAATGCATTAAGAAGCATTGTTTTATTAAAATCGTGGATAATATTTAAGTGAGCTCGTGTGCACGTGCACCAAAAACATGAAAATAATTATTGTAAAAAATAAATATCTCAGAAAAACTTAATTCGGCACTAAAAAGGAAATCCGAAAGATAAATTATTTTAAGATTTGAATTTTCAATATATATTATGATCGTGTCGAAATAAGTTATTTCTATTAATATCAGTGTGGCTAATTTCATCGAAATGCAGTAAATTTTGTCCAAAATTTCAATAGCATATTCCTGTAAGTTTGCAATTTCGTATAACTTAATGACGCAGGTTGCAATTATGCAATATCGCCATTGTCATGGCGAATTTTACGTGTATGCAATCACAAATATCTACTACGTATTTCGATAGATACTAAACCATTTTACAACCACTAAGCAAGAATTCATAAATATTTAATAGCAATTTAATATGTATGAAATTCAATTCGGTCCTTCAGAAGTACGTAATATCAAAAACGACTATTTACGTACTCACTTACTGAATATCGAAGACGAAGACGGGATTTGTTTGCGTGTTTAATGTGTAATTATATTAACACGCGCATTATGTTTCATATTTGATGTTTTACGAGATTGTCGATTGTTCAGTAGTGGATTTTTCTTTTGACGCAAGTCGAAAATGTGGAAAGCAGAAACCATGAAAACACTCACGACATGACGCAGGTAAATCGAACGCATTCTTTTAATATTAATCATAATCATATTAAATTATTAAAATGTAGATATTTACTTTTATTTAATTAAATTTGTACTGATTCTATTGAGAGTTACGCCAAAACACTCAAAATATTTTACGCTGCGCAAATAGTCGGTATGATAAAACTCATTTTGATTGTATATTTATTTGGGTGAATCAAACTGAACTGAAATATATTTTCCAGATAAACTAAATGACTAAGAAAGTATACAAGTATCAATTGATTTGAAGGAACATGTTTTGATCAGAAATTTATGAAATATTCTTGAAATAAAATTTGAAATTTATCAAATATGGTAATTTTCACAAGTATTTTAGGGTGGTTAACAAGGATTTTAGGATGTTTAATGTAACAGTCCTTGTTAAAAATCAGTTTGACTCAAGACTTAAAAGAAAAACTGATATAAACCCTTCGAGACCCCAAAATCAGCAGGAAACATCTCGAAAGTTCACTATCGTCACAATGTATATGAAATCAGAATATATTTACGCACGCAAAACCACGTGACGATGACGTTGATGGTTTATTGATTCTTCCAGGGATTCCGAAAAATGGGAAACTTAACCGACACGATGTGTTATTCTACTATTCTTCGCAAATCCAAACCACAAAATGTAAACGAACACGCCAAAAAACTTACTACGCACAGTAAAACCAAAAAACTAACACATTCCTGACCGAACTGTCACAATGTTTTTGTATAATTTTAATCTCTCACTTGTTCCTTGCTAAAAAAAAACAAACGTAATTGAATTGTTTTCATCTTCTCAAGCCAACATATTAGATCATTCGCGGATGTTTTGTATTTATCTCCTGAATAGCTTCCGCATGAATCAACGAACTAAGCGTTAACAAATTTCAGTCATGATTAAATTTTCAGAAGTGTTTATTTGCATTTGTGGTGCGTATGAAATTCAGTAGTAAAATGTTAGTGATAAGTACACATTGAAAGGATTGTAATGAGAAAAATAATTGTAAGAGAGATGCGCAAACACCACAAATGCGCAATTCACGCCCGTTTAGCACCTGCTTTAACACTTCAATGTTTAATTCCTTTGTATCTGAACAACCATAAAGCTTGTGACTGAGAAAAATACTACAACAATTGAGTATACAATAAGATGGTGCACACTAAAACACAATGAGACGTAGGTGTACGAAGAAGGTGCGTCAATGGCGGCTTCACACTTAGTTTCAAGTGTTGATTTTGTCTGGCACAAAACGAAAAATTAAACCTTTTTCTAAATAAAACCCCGATTCATTCCACCCAATACGCAAATCATTTTAAAATGTCGTATACTGTAGTAAATTGCTCCTAAAGTATGTTAATTGTTTGCGCACAAACCGAATGTGTTCCGCCGGAAGTCGCTTGAGCGCTTCGTCACCGAAACGCACGTCATCAACCTCAAGCGCATGAATGCGCTAATCGGAACTCAAAAGAAATTCAAATTTAAACTAAACAATTCACATGTGCACTGTTTCCACGACTTACT